GTGTCCGAAGCCAAGCTCGCTGGCGCCCTCCCTAGGAATCAGTATGGGGCGCGGCCTGGCCGCTCCACCACGGACGCCCTGCACAAAGTTGTCAAGGTGATAAAAGACACCTGGCGAGAGGGCCGTGTAGCCACCGTCCTGTGCATGGATGTCAAGGGAGCGTTCCCCAGTGTCGCACTGGACCGACTGTACCACGACCTACGCATGCGGGGCATACCGGAGCAACACACCGACTGGCTCTGCTGCCGTTTCGCAGGACGCACCAGCAGGCTTGCCTTTGGGAACTACCTCTCCGACTCCTTTGAGATCACCGGTGGACTAGACCAAGGCAACCCACACTCGGGATTCCTATACGGGATCTACAATGCAGATTTGGCGGAGATCCTGCGCCCGAGGAAGGACGAGGATGGGGTTGTCTTTGTGGACGACAATACACTTATCACAGTCGCTGACACATTCAAACAGATCCACAAGAAGATCCAGTCAATAGTCGCGCGCTGCAATGGTGTAGTGCAGTGCCGCACACAATGCCAAGTTTGGCCCAGCAAAATATCAGATGGGGGATTTCTCACGCCACCGAGTCAAGCACCTGTTCCTGCCCCACAAGACCATCCCGGAGCCCCGCTTCAATATGCGTCTGGATGGACATCTCATCAAATCTGCAGATTCGGTGAAATTACTCGGTGTCAATCTCGATCGCGAGCTGCGCTGGCATCAACAGGAGGCAGCGGTGGTGGCAAAAGGCCAAGCATGGGTCCAACAGACCGCCTGCATTGCCCGCACTTTGCGCGGGATAAACGCTGCAAACATGCACCGGATTTACCTTGGGGTATGCGTACCCCGGATGCTCTACGCTGCTGACGTTTTTCTCTCCCCGCCTGTGGGGAATAGGTCGACATACTCAAAAAAGCACCGCGAGCGAGGAGTACTCAAAAAATTCTGTTCTATACAGCGCAAGGCCGCCCTCGCAATCACCGGCGCTCTGCGCTCCACCCCAACTGAGGTGCTGGATGTCTACGCACACCTACTCCCGGTGGAACACCTTGTCGCGAGGGTCAGGCTAGGGGCAGCCTTACGGCTGGCAACATTGTCGAAATTGAACCCCCTACGCGCCGCAATGCTAGAAGATGCATCGCGCCCTCCCTGGGTGCCGCACGCCTCACCGCTAACCGACCTGGAATATGATTTACACATTGAGCCGGATGAGATGGAAACAATGGATGCGGTGCAGACGCCAGCGGAGTGGGCGCCGACCATGGGGATTGAGATTGCAAGTACGAAAGAGGATGTGGTCAAAGCAGAAAAAGAGGACAGTTCCACTTACAAAGTATTTACTGACGGTTCTGGCATAGATGGGCGCATAGGGGCCTCCGCCGTCCTCTTTGAGCACGGCGTCGAGCTGGGTGCACTTCGGCTCTACTTGGGGAACACGGAGGACCACACCGTCTTTGAGGGCGAAGGCATCGGTGGTGTTCTCGCCATGGTACTCCTCGAGCAACTTGAGCAGCTATCCGGGCCGGTTTCGATCTATGTCGACAGCCAACCCGCGATCCGTGCCACACAGGTGAGAGCCTCAACGCCATCCCACTGGATCTGGGATCTGTGGCACGTGCAGGCGCGCACCCTCGCAGTGAAACACCCTGACGCTCGGGTCACAGTGAAATGGGCCCCGGGCCACGTTGGTATTGTCGGGAACGAAAGGGTAGATATAGAGGCGAAGAAGGCAGCGCAAGACCGAGACTCGTCTGCCAAACGAGGCCTCCCTCCCCGCATCTGCGGCGCGCAGCCTTGGAGCCGCTCCGCCACGAAACAGCACCTTGTGGCTGAGCTCAAGGACAACCGCGCACCGCAAATGGATGACATCGAAGCGCTATGAATGCACGATGCAGTATGACGCCAAACTTCTCAAAGGCTCGTATCTAGCCACAGTCAACTGTCTGCCCCGCAGTCTGGCTGTACTCCTCATCCAGCTCCGTACCGGTCACGTCCCCCTTGCCAAACACCTCCACAAAATTCAAAAAGCCGATTCTCCTATCTGTCCCCGTTGCCGACAAGCCGATGAGTCTGTCGCCCATTTCCCGTTACACTGTACCGCCCACGCAGACGCACGTCGTGAACTGCACCGTGCCGCCAGCCCCAATGCCCGTGTTCTATCGAAGCTGCTTGGGTCCCCAAAGCTCCTCCCCCACCTCTTCCGCTTCCTAGGGTGTACGGGTCGCTTCCACAGCATCCACGGCACCCTCCCTGAGCCCCCAGACCCTGTCCCAAAAGAATAAATTTCGCGGCCTCGCCCCCTCCATCCACCTCCGCCGTACCCGAAGAGCCGCGCTGCACCCCCCACCCTGCCCATCATGCCTTAGCCGTACAACCGCCCCCTGCCACTCGGCTCTACTTTACTCACCAGTGCCCACCCACCCGGGGCCTATACCCCACTTACTCTAGGCTTGCAACCACTTACCTTATCTCACCCAGGTCCCGACCCACTCTCCTATTTGCGCAGAAGCACTTCCATCCATGTGTCATGAATTTGGCACTCAGATATGATTTCGCAGACCCCACATATATATTACCATGCCCCCAACCCATAGATAACAGATATGTAGAAGTATGCCCAACGTGCTGTACGTGGCGAGGGGCAAAGTTACGGGGATGCAAAAAAAAAAAAAAAAAAGCTTGCGATTATGCGGGCCCTCCACGAGTGGCGACACTATCTGCAGGGCAGTCAGTTGAAGTTCGAGATTTGGACGGACCACAAGAATCTGGAGTACTTCACCACCACAAAGAAACTCAATAAACAACAGGCCCGTCGGTCGTTGAGCTCAGCGAATATGACTTCACGCTCATTCATAAACCCGGGAAGCAATATGCGAAACCGATGTGCTTTCGAGGCGAAGCGGTCATGAGAAGGGGGCACAGGACAATTCGAATCTTGTGCTGCTTCCGGAACAGTACTTCCGGAGGATGGACGGTGAAGAATTTTTGAAAGCCATGCCGGTGGTCTTGGACGACACGGCGGGTGACCAATTCATGGAGGACATCAAGGCTGGGAAAGCTGATTGGGAAGATGTGGTGAAGAAGGCGCTGAAGGAAAAGGCTGAGGGCTGGGAAGAACACGAGGACGGGTTCGTAACCCGACATGGAACAGTATACGTGCCTCCAACTGGGGATCTACGACATCGGATTCTACGGGCACACCACGATGATTATATTCGGGACACCCGGGACAATTCCGGACGGCGGAACAAGTAACCCGAAACTAGTACTGGCCCCCCCTACTGTCGGACGCCAAGCGATACGTTTCGGCTTGTCCTGTGTGCCAGAGGACGAAGCTATTCCCTTCGAAACTCCGAGGACCCTACACCCTAACGCGGTTCCGGAACGGGTGTGGCAGAACATCTCAGTGGACCTGATCACCAAGTTACCTGTCCGTAACGGGTACAACTCTATCGCCGTGATAGTCGATCGACTGGATAAAGGAATCCGGGTGGTGCCTTGCACCGAGCACTTGGGAGGAGAAGGGATGGCGCGCATCTATCGTGACCACGTGTGGAAGGACTTCGGGTTGCCCGAGGTGGTGATCAGTGACAGAGGGACACAGTTCATAGGACACTTTATGCGGGACCTGTTGAAGCCCTGGGCATAAAATCGAACACTTTGACCGCCTACCACCCACAAACCGATGGTCAGACCGAACACATCGACCAAAACATCGAACAATACCTTCGGGTTTTCACCAACTTCTTGCAAGACGATTGGGCAGATTGGTTGACGCCAGCGGAGTTTAACCACAACGACCAAGTCAGCAAGACGATGGGTTTCAGCCCCTTCTTCATTACCATGGGATTCCATCCGCGAAAAGGCACTGAACCACGACTCAAGGTACCGACCGAAGATGCGACTAAATTTGCAACCTGGATGTCTAAGGTTCGGGAGGAAGCAGGGGCTGCCATGCGGGCAGCACAGGAGACAATAAAGAGGTTCTATGATGCCAAACGACAGGCAGACCCCGATTATAAACCCGGTGATAAGGTGTATCTGTCCGGGGCGAATTTGGTCACTCATCGCCCGACGAAGAAATTCGAAGCCCGGCGTTATGGTCCCTTCACGATCGTCCAGAAGGTTGGAGCCATCTCTTACGAACTGAAACTTCCGGATTCTTGGAAGGTTCATCCGGTCTTCAACACCGTATTTCTTCGTCCCTGGGTCCTGCCTGTCGCTGCCCATCAGCACCACAACGATCCTCCCCCTCCAGACATAGTAGATGGGGTGGACCTCTACGAGATTGCAGAGGTGCTGAAGATACACTTCAACAAAAAGTGTAAGCACTTGCAGTACCTGATCCGGTGGGAGGGTTATGGACCCGAGGATAACACCTAGGAGCCATTGGAACATTTGGGGGATTCTACCGAATGTCTTGATGACTTCTACGAGAAGTACCCGGCGGCTCTGAAAGAAACCACCCATGGACAGAAGTGGGTCATCACAGGTGAAGACCTATGGAACAAGAAGCGGCGCCGATGGTGAAACCCGAGGCGGGTTTCACCTAGAGGGGGGTAATGTCATGAATCATCTTTTCATTTTACTTCCAGAACCCGAACAACCCGATCATTGATCAGATCAACTATCTGATCAATCGAACCAGGATACCGTTTTAGGATCCCTAACGGTTTCGATCAGTTCCCCGACCTTCGGGTTCCCGATCGCCCCTCTACGTTCATATACCCCTTCATTTACTTTGCATTAATCTTATCCATTGCCGTTGGACACTGTACCTTAATTTACAACCCCTGGGGACTTTAGTATATAAACCGTAGTTAGTTCCCTGTACTTTACACTATTCTAGTCTAAACTCCAGGCTTATTCGTTTGGAACTCTTCATGCTTCAGTCGCCCTCGTCACCTCAGAACCCGGAATCTGCTCTGTGCTAAACAGATCATTAAACATGAGTTAGGGTGCTCTGCACAACAGTTTAAGCTGTATAAAAATTAGGAATATAATAAGCAAGTATAGTTTAATTGGTAAAGTGTCTCCCTTCCAAGGAGAAATTGTTAGTTCGAGTCTAATTGCTCCGCCAGCTATTGCTGAGCACCCAAAATCCGCCGCCTGCCCCCGCCCCTGCCGCTCTGGCTCCGGCGCCGGGTCCAGATTTCTTGGCCCCCCACCCAGCACCCAAAACGGTCTTTCGACCGAATCCTCCAGCCATTTTCGACGGTGACCAGATGCAAGGACGGATGTTCCTTTACTCCGTCCTCACCTATTACCGGCTGGTTCCGGAAGCTTTCATGGCGGACCTTTCATGGCGGAGGGTTCGTCTCACAGGAAAAACTGGTCCGGTTCGCCATGTCCTTCATGTCGAAGGACGCGGCTGCCCGATGGGTGGAATGGCGCGCATCCGCCATACCAATGTATCAAGGTGCAGGCTCGGCACAATCCCAACGGTTCTCGTCACTTCCAGACAAATGGTAAGTCGGTTTCCAAAGATTCCAAGCCAAGATAAATTCTAAGAGACACCTTGTTCGAACTCCCTGGTTTCCACCCAATTTGCAAGTGTTCCCACCTACTAGCTGTGGGGTGATTCCGTGAAGACTGAGCAGGACACTCTGGTACTAAATACAAAGACCTGAAACACATGGAAATGTCTGAGAATAAGTAGATATGAGTAAAATGGTCTGTTTATCTGTCCAACTGCCATGTATCCATCAGAGAATTGGGTATCTGGGTCTTTCTATTGGCTGCCAGTGACAAGCACACCATCCTCGTGTGATCCTATGCACATGTATGATCAGTAAGACTGTGCCTGGCCCACTAAAGCCAGCCTCCTATGTTGATCCTGACTTGATAGCCCATTCCCTCCGATGCCAGTGCCTTCCTGTCTGCAGGAAAATTTATACCAGGAAGTCCCACTGGCAGTCCGTAACTCTTCAGAGATACCACATTCAAAGTACTTCCCAGTATGGGTACTCGCTCCAAGAGCCAATAGCTATAGGTCCAAGTGTCAAGATTTTGAGGGGCACTCAGTTTCATGCCAAAAGTACAATTATAGTATGAAATCATGTGATTATATCGGGAATATTAAAAGTGCCAACTGACCGCCATACGGAAAGGCCGAAATCACCGAAATATCTTGCAGCCAATTGAATGTGCATCTGGACCGCCATACTAGTCCTATGAGAATATACATCCTAGACCTACCTGGTGTACCAATGTAATATGAAGGTATTCTAAATTTTGAAGGAAAAAGTTTGTCCGACCTAAAGTTCTTTTTCCAGATGAATAATGTGACATCGTGAACGTCATAACAAACAGCAAAAACCAGCTTCTAAGATATATTCTATAGGACACAAAACAAAATGTTACCGCAGATTACGCTGTGGTGCTATTACATACATATTCACATGTAATAGACGGCTAGCATTCCACTCTTTGTCCGTATCTGCCATGTTCCTTACCGTGGCCGTCCCCTTTCCCTGCTACAACACTTATTCTAATTTCAGTGGAGAGGATAAATATCAAACCTCTGCTAATTTTCGGTATCCTCCCACACAATCCGTAGCCGCGCTGCCATAAGCTTTTGGCGCTCGCGCCATGCTGCTAGTGCGCTAAGGAGGATAGTGGCGAAGCACGCAGTGCCCGTAAGCCCCAGTGTCGCAACATAACAGCTGCGCCCCTCCAGGCACTGGTGCGACGCAACACGAGCTACTGCTGCATCAACCGAACTCTCGTCCCGCTCGTGCGCATCGAGATTCCGCCCAAACGCGATCGAGAAGAGGTTCGCGCCGACGATTGGTGAGAGTGAGAGGAAGCCCCAGTTTTCGGAGAAGTGCACTGCGGGCGAAAGGAAGTTAGCGGTGGGGTACGTAGAAAGAAAAGAAGTTAAGGGACGGGAACGCACAGAGCCCGAAGAACTCGATGCACACGGTGGGGAAGAGCCCGAAGATAGTGCCATACGAGAGCCCGACAAGGGCGCTCGCTTTCCACAGGTCCGTTACGTCGCTGATCTGCGCGGCGAGGAGCTGCGAGCAGAAGAGCAGGCTGGAGACGAGTACGAGGGAGTACGACCGCGGCAACCCAAAGTAGTTTTTCATGTTGTCAGAGATGAGGCCTGCACAGCGGAATGTGAGCCAAGGCCGTATATTGGACGAAAAGTGACCACAAACCGATAATTATACGGCCAAAAAAATTCATAATGGAGATGGTTGAGACCTGTGTCGCCTGCCATTGAGAGGCTTCAACCTTGTCATAGGCGGGATTCCCTTTGGCGAAGAGCGCCTGCGACATGGACCCAACGTTGTTGATGTCTGCAGGCACTCAGCATCCAATTGAAGGAACAAACTCGCGAACCACGTACACATTAATCCTGTCCCACTCACTGCACTCAAAGATAAGTGAACGTTCACGGTACAGAGACGGACAACGCACGCAAGGAGAGAATCACGAAAAGCAGCCAAAAGTCTGAGTTGATCCACAGCGCACGGCCGTAGATGTTCGGACCCTCAAATACATCCTGCTGCTTGCTGCGGTTGACGGTGCGGCTGTGGGACGTCCTGCGGCTACGGCCAGCCGAAGGCCTACTTGGTGGGCCCAGTTCAATCCCTCTTGCATCGGGAACATAGTATTCTTCCGTGAGGCTGAAATCAGTGGCCTCGTCGAGGAGCGGCGTGTGGCTGTCGTTGCCGTGGTCGAAAATGGTCGCCTCTACCTCGGCCGCGACTGTCGTAACCACCATGTGATCGCTGCCCTCGGCGGCCGACAGTGGGATGGGGCGCACGAGGAAGAACCCGATAATGGTTGTCAGCGCAGTACCTAACGACAGCAGGAGCAGGAACGACGATGTGTTGCCCGGGAACAGAAAATGCGCAAGTGTGGAGAAGAAGAATCCGGAAAGGCCGATGCCCGAGAGCACGATTCCGGTCGTCGTTGCGAGCTAACCGGGCAAATGAGTCCGCAGTTTCGCTTTAAGTCACGCTGAGACGTACAGCTTTGTCGGGAAAAGATTTCGCGGTGGAGTTGATCGCGCTGGTGAAGGCGGCCTTCCCCCCTGCACCGGTCATAAAGCTGCAAGCGATAAGGAGGCCCAGGTTGAGACTAGACGGAGGGGAGCCCCCTTCAACACCAACATCGTAGAAATGCCTGATACCGGTGTATCCGAAAAAAAGGCAAGCAAAGGCGAAGTTGAGAGGTATACGGGGTCCCCACGCGTCGACGATTCGTCCCCAGAGAGGCCCGCTGCTGGATGCGCCGACTGCATTGTGTACTTTAACGCTAGTCGCTAATAAGTAAGACAAAGTGGGCGCACCGTTCGCCGCAAGCCCTACGATATTTAACTGAGTATGGCTGATATTAAGGCGGGCTGCAAGTTGCGGTGAATATGCTGGAAATCAAATCAGCCTGGCCTCTTATTTCGAGGGTAGAAGTCTCACCAGAGAAGACCTGTTGATGGAAATCCGTTCAATGAAAGGCTGGTGCTTCGCCAGGCCTGGAAGCGCACGTAATTCGTCCCCGAGCCGACCGCGACCAATAAGGATGCAAGTAGAGTCGTTATGCGAGGCACACTCAACAAACCGGGAACAACAAGGTTTGGGGGAACCATCGGATGACCAAGAGCTATGCGAGAGAGGGGAAATCGATGCAGAATCGAGACGGTATCAACTGAACGGCCACGTAGGAGCCATGCAGTGCCGGGAATCTGAAGGGGAAAGGTAACCGCCAACACAGCCACTATTCGCAAAACGACGGAGGCGGTTATCTCCCAGTCTATAAAAGGCGTTCAATTCGACCATGTAACCAGGATAGGTCTATTTGGCAGCCCCGGCTTCTTTGGCAACTGGGTTTCGAGAGGGGGTTGCCAAATAGAATCTGGCGGCCCGCCGATTTGCTAAACCTCAATGAGATCTTCCCAGGCTGGTGTCTGTGTTAAGTAAGAATGTAATAGACTCGGTAATATTTGGTACAGCCTTCATTGCTTTCTAGGCGTACAAATCCCCCACCACTGAATCGACCCCGAGTGCCTTGTGTTGCGAGTCCCGGCCATTGTACAGGGAGTCCACGCCATTTTCGTCACTTCCTTGGCGAAAATCCGATTCTTTTTTTGGTAGAGATCAATTGCTTGTACAGAAGTAGTGGTTTCAAGTTGGTGCAGATTTTGAGAAGGAACCTTCATAACAATCTAGGGCACTCCACAAGAGATACCCACTTCTATTGAGAGCCAGCGGAATGGTAATAGAGTTTTTCCATCATCCATGGCTTCACAGAACACGATAAATCAATCCCAAAAGTATTTTACACACAAACGGATACTCAAGATCCGATAGATCCGGATCCCTCGACGCGCCGCATATGAATGGCTGATACGTCAGATTTCTTACATCCCTCACAATCCCCTCGCCGCCCAAGACCGACACGCACAATAATCAGTGTCGGTGCGATATTCTGCGGAGATGGTCCTCATTTGCGTGATAGAAATACGGACGAGTTTCAGACATACCACCAGTTGCGAATTCGCCCCTGTACAAATGTACGTGAATGGCTGGAAAGGGTATCAAAAATCCAAAAAACTTTGGGGAAAGGGGGGTGGCCCACGGATTCGGGACCGCAGTAAGTTGCGGCTACGATCCAGACGATGACAGCGGCGCAGTAGAGTGCACCAGACTCCAGGCTGGTTCATCTCTCAGTGTTGCACTGAATGGAGGATGGATGCACCTACATCATCGCGATGGCGGTGTTGTATCTATGGGTTAGTGCGGGTTCAGACAGGATGGCATGCAGTTCTCGTCTCGCCCACCAAATTCGTCCCGCTTCAGCGCCGGCGTAGTCAGTCAGAGTGGAAATGGAAGCCGATTGAAGCATTTTTACCGATCAGTATCGTGAGTACAACGTTTGTCAGGATTGTTATGATAAATGGGATACGGACATCGAGAACTTGTGCGGGGGGACGGTGGTCGTAGTGGGATTGTATGTCCATTTCGAAAATAGATACATATCCAAGGGCTGTAGACGATGTTGAGCCGGTAACCTAATGACTTGGTGACTTTACCTGTGCAGGTTGCAAGCATGCCGACGGGGAGGACAACAAG